AAACTGGTAAGCGCGAACCGTGCACCTGACCCTGCGAAGCCTAATGCCCCTGCCGCTATGTTTAAGTAAGCTCCGCGTGCTTCACCATCCATCACACTCATCGTCTAAAAGCAAATAAGTTTTTCTGTGTCATTAGTATCAAATAATAATTTTACCTGCTTATGGGTAAGTCTGTCATATAAACTGTGTCCACTGCGAAACAATGTGTAGACAGAAACTGCAGTACCAGAAACAATGGATATTGGCACGAGTATGGGTGCTGCAACAACTACGGCCGGAATCAATGCAACTAGGCCTCCCACGCCAGCAGCTACACCAACCGCCATAGCTGCAATATCGATGGTATTCAAAACTTGAATACCAAGACCGCAAGCCGGCGACGGATTATACTCCAGTATTACCCGGTTCCAGCAGTCTCCTTGATAACGTCCGTCTTTTGGAGTAACGCACAGACATTTACCGAGTTTGTTTTCTTCTAAATATGACTCCCAGTTGATATATACCCTTAAGTCGGTGTCAATGAAAGTACGGCACGCATTGTCGACATCAGCGCACTTGGGTACTACAAATATCGGTTTTGCATTAAAATCCGTGAACGGATTATAATCCTCATCCTTCTTGCACTTTTCCAATTTCTCTCTTGGTAGTGGTGTGGTTATATTGTAGATACAAGCGAATACGACCAGTTTAGGGTTATTTGTGTACTTAAGACACTGTTTCTTAATCACCTTGATCATATCATTTACGGTGCTTGTTTGGGTTTCATCGTACATGTTTGTTTCGTCCTTGGGAGGACCGAAGTAAGCGTAAGCCACTTTTCGGAACAAATAATGCTCGTGATCCTCCCGATCCAATTCGAAACAATCGTAGTCTCTGTTTCCCATTTGTTCGTACATGATCTGATGGACAACTTCTGGTTTTGTTTCATCTTTATTGTTTGTGAAATTGTTCTGTAGATGCAGTGCGATTTCAAGTTCGGTCATGTAATATTCTGAACATTCCTCCAGTGTATTGACAATTGTACTAGAAGACGCATCGTACGGTATGAACCTAAACATCGTTAGACATTCGGCAATCGGCATAAAAACGAACAGTCCCGGCACACCCTCCCTCAATAGCTTTATCATATTTCTGTCTTTAAAATTTCTTTCGATTGATATCTCCAGAATATTAACTAAATCTGTTCTGGATACATCCCATGCTAAAAAGTGGAATTTTTCATTTATCATCGATACCAATTCAGGCTTTTCACTTAGCAACTTATCAAAATGTTTTGTAACTGGAGCATCCTCTTTGTAGAAATACATCAGAAGCATCTTTCTCTGTAATAAAATTTCAAATGAGTAATATTAATTACTTTATATTAAAAGAAAAGTATGCTTTGTTGTGACTGTTTCAATAACAGGGCTGGACTAACTTATTTTGGGGTAAAAAGTAATCCCAATTTTTTTTTAGAGACATTTGTCAATCCTATGGTCAGCCCTGTTTGATAATTCGCATTATTTAGTGAAGAAATATGAAGAAAAAAGGGTAATTAAACTTACCTCAACCGTATCCTGACAATTTAAATACATGTCTTTAATTAATTCGTTCAAAGAAACTTTCAAACATGGGCAGCACGGAGCTATTTTCGTGGTCTCATTCGCACGCAGCTCAATAAAATCTGTGATCCCATGGGATGCGGTTAAAGCGTCTTCAATCGCTAAGATATTGATCTTCAAATGTTCATATTCCAATTTATCAGAAAAAAATGAGAAAAGGTTTGGTTCACCTTTGATTGGCAAAAAGAAAAAGAGGCCAGATCTTTTTTGTTCAATGCTTTCCTTCAAAATATTCAGGTTGAAGTATTTCACAAGTAGATGTATTTGGGACTTGTGTCTTGAAGGGTCATCAATATCCCAAGCAACAAAAGAAAAGTACTTTAGGTGATGAAGCAAATCGACGTTGCTTAATAGCGCTGTAAATGAGTCGCTGAACACAGAGTTTGCGCTATGTAAATATAATACCAAACATTTTTGCTACAATTGTTTCAATAAATAGTTAAACATATACTGCTAGATAAAATCTTACCAAATATTCGGGTTCAGTGGATACACAATCATTTATTACTTTCCAAGATGCTTGACCAAGAACTCAGGATGATATTCTCCAAATTTATGTTCATAATTTGAAATAAACTCCTCAACGCCCTGCATTTCCAGACGTTCTTTTAACAAATAGTATTACTAATGGTGCAAGTTAATTGATTTATTAAATACTCAACTGTGTAATGTTTGATAATCTTCCTGAACAGTAGTACAAATTTTATTAAGTTCAAAAATAAACATTCCATCGTCTTTAATCGTCGTATCAAAGATCGTATGCAGCTTCAATTGGGCATTGATAGTATGGTAAACAAATAAGCCGCTGTTTTTGCGTTCATAATGACTTCGCACTTTTAAAAGTGCTTTGTGCTTTCTTAAGACAAAGTGACTCTCCTCAATTTTGTCGTCGATATCGAAAGAATATATTGAGAAATTAGCGAACACACTACTAACATTATGTTTTACCATGAGGTTACAAAACATTTTACTAAAAATATCTTCACTATTGTGTAAATACACAAGAAGAGGAATCTCCTGTAAAGACAAACTGATGAATGTTGTTACTGGATATGATTAAATCAAACCTCAGAGACAGCCTTCTCAACTGCATCATCAAAATTATCATAAATATTTGTGCCAAAAGCTGTTGCTTTGAAATTATTCCAATCCAAAACTGCAGGTATAATATGATCTGCAGCATCATCAAGTATTTGTTGTTTGCTATCTTTGATAACAGATTTTAATACAACAGATGGATCAAATCTAAATATAAATATGCTTGATATGTTGTTAGTGATAGCATTTACTACTTCAGGGCATTTTAAATTTTTATCACAAATATCAATTAATGGCTCTATTAGTGATTTGTCACTGACATCCCATAAAACACTGTTATAATACTTATAACCCACAGTGGAATCTAATAGAGTGCCTTTTCTAAGATCAATTCCATACTCATCCGATTGATTTAATATGCACAAGAGTAAGTCAGTATTCTGGAAATTTATAAAGCTTTACAGTTAAATAGCTTAATTTGCAATGTGAAATATTTACAATTAGGTTACAAACTGTTATAGCATCTTCCAATTGATTGAATTGAAACTTGCAATCCCCATCCATTTTTGATATGAAATTATCAAATGCTTTTTGTTCTGCCATATTGTTTTTTATACACTTGCTAAATTTATTACCACTGAACTGGACTGATTAAATACAACTCTGTTTCTGTTGAATAATAATTCCAAGCGTATCACTTATTTATATGAAGCTTAAACCATACTGAAAATATAACATTGACGATAAGTTAATTTTATATCTATTGATTACAATTGTAATAATCAATAATGACGTAATGCAAGTATATAAGGTTCATGATACAATTATGGAAGGTATACCGTCAGCCGTTAAATTTTCGTCAATTTTCGCGCATTATATTAAGTAACAATATACCAAGACAAATATCTGAAAGCGACTGAATTATATCATTTCATGACTAATATAATTATTACCAAAGATAAGCATCTGTTGTGAATAATACATTTTTAGTATTTTATTTTCTTAACCTTAAAAATTGTATATATCCCACTCCTCTCATTTACGGTCTTGTGACCATCAGCCACCAGTGGGACTTGTGACCGTACAATATGTGCTCGGATGTACTTTGTATTATGTACAAATTACATCCAAGCGTATATTGAGGATCACCCTACTTTCACACAATGATCAGAGCTTCAAGGATAAGATTTTCAAGACTGTGATGTTATGAACTTAATTGGAATGATATTTAATAGTCTCAATTGTTGTATTTTCCTTAAGCTGCTTAAAAAAATGTCAAATAGCAATCAAAGTATCTCGTTGGTAATAACGATTAATCAATGTTGATCATTTCCTCGTTTTATATATTTATATGCGGTGCGAAATTTTTAACCACTACATACAAAAAAAAATACCGCTCCCAACTAAATTGTTCAACGATATTCTTGTTAAAAATCTTAGAATTTATAGAAAGAGACAAACTGGGTGTGTAGGAATGTTTCTAAATGAAAACAAGTATTTTACAGAACAATGTATAAAATTTTATTTTCATCTACAATTTTGTTTGCGATTGTTTTTCCATCTTATATTTATCAAAATGTTTATAGAACATCTTACTTATACAAAAAAAAATAAACAAAAAATGGTTACAACTCATGTTTTGTAACATTATTAAATAATATATTGATGTGAAACCAACAAATCGTTTGTCAGTCATCTTTACCTCGAATATTCTCGGGACTAGTATAGAAAAGAACATAAATTATTAGACTATGAATAAATATAATCTATAAAGTTGGTAATAATATTAAGGCTAAATGAATTAATGTGAACTATATGAGAAATATTGAACAAGATACAGAGTGTATCGCATTTTTTCTTACATATTTAATAAATATAGATTAAGTTGTTTTCAGTTATAAAACTAGACGGGGATCCATATAAATATATATATTTATTTGTTTTGTACATATTGGGAGAATGCATCCCATTGGAGTTTAACTTTTTTTTTTCTCATTTGTACATTAGTACACAATATTATTGTGTAACCTTTGGGAGGAGGGGTACTCACAAAACATAAAAGTCCTTTTTACATATAAAATAAATACAATCATATTGTTATCGATACACACAGAGTAAAAATGAGTTTGCATAATATCAAACTTTTTACTAAAAAATATAAAAAAATGTGATATTTCTTTTTTACTTTCACCTGTTCTGTCGATTTAGGCTTAGTTTGTTCTCTTAAAAAGAGAAACGTTCATATATACGTTCGACTATATTCATACATAAATATTATATACACAATTAAAAGGTGTGGGAAAAGTAGAGACGGACGGATGGATGGAAAATTCAGAAATTCAGAGAGCGCGGCTTCAGGCCGCCCGATGTTCTACTGTTTAAGAACTGTTTGGCTTTCTCCGTTAGCTCCAGTTGGTCTTTGGTCTGACCACATGCTACCATCATCCACCTTACACCCAACTGAAACAATAAATCGATCGTTATTCTCAAAACAATTATTATTAGAAGCAGGTGTAAAATAACAACAGAAAACATGGTTTGAATATGAAACTTATAAAATGAAAAAAAAATAAAAACAAAACCGAAACCAAAAAACAGCAAAGTTAAATTTGATTAATTATTTGTTAGTCGATCCTTTATTCTCGCACAATTTCGCATTCACTCATTCTGGTATATTTCCTTTTAAAATCGGCATGATTGAAACTATTAATCGATACATGTGTGTGTGTGTCTTTTGTTTCGCATTGTTATTTTTTGTTCTGTTTCTATCCATAGCCTGCTCACCTTAGGTTTAGGTCTAGAATTTGTCTCCGTGAATGTAATGCGTTTGACGGCAGCACTGCGTCGACCATTGGTGGCTCGGGAATTGGTGATGGTTGCGCTGGTTGTGGGCACGAACTGCCGGGAGACATAAGGAAGAAGCTACAATAATACCACCCAAAACACACACAAAGACCACACCCCTCCTCCTCCAAGACAATTAAAAACAAATAGGGTGACTGATGCACACCGAGAAGTCACGGAACTGCACGGAACTCAATTCAACGAGCAACTAGTTATTCAACGTATACCGTGGCAAATATAAATATAAAATAATTAGAAGAAAAATAGAATGTGTAAAGACTACTTCCTGTGTGCAATGTCGTTAAAATATATATATAAAAAATAACAAAATTATAAACTAATTTTTGGTAAAAAGACGCACACTCGATACTCTTACGTCTCTCATTTTCTCACTCACATTACGTGTTCTTTTTTCAATGCGACGACTGCATTTGTACCATCAATCAACTTTAACAACACAATTAACAAAGTATAAAAAACATGCAAGATATAATCTAAGATTACTAGAATAAAATAATGATAATAAAGTGTGTGTGCTTTGTGTATAGCGTTGTGTACGTGTAATAATATATGATGTATCATCTATAGGATTTTTGGATCTTTTTTGTTTGAATTGGTCACCAGAGAACTAGACTAGACAAAAATTACAATAAAAAGAAAAGAAAAATAACTTAAACCAATTAAATAAAATTATAATTAGTGCATGCAAAAAAAAAAACAATAAGTTAATAAGTTAGAATTGTTAGACAATTATATACAAAAAAATAATTTAACCAATTAATAGTGGTCGTGGCTGGAAATTTTAGGATATTTACATGCAATAAGTACGTATTTTTTAGATTATAAAAGGGAGAGTGGATATGTTTTGTCCCTGCTGGTGATTAGAGATGTTAATGTTATTATATCTGCTGATCAATTTCGGCATAGTGTACTGTTCGTTCTTTGGAAATTCGCTTTTTGTCTTGTTGTTTTGTTTTAATGGTATGGAAAGAAATGATCGTCAAAATGAAACCAGCCTTGTACCTTGGATGAAGATTGGGCGGAGTCCATTAAGCCCACTCCCAATAAATCTTTGGTTATTGAATTCGGCGTCGAGAATAGTGCAGAATCTTCGCCCAGCGACTTACTCTATAAACATAACATTTACATTATATATAGTTCAATATATGAATAAAATATTATGTAATTACCGGCGTCTCGACTGCTGAGAGCATCGGCGAAGTACTCGTCCAAGCTAAAGCTTTTCTCACTTTTTTATAAGGTAAAATATTCTCTTTGTCCGCAGCAATCTGTGGCTTCCGTTTTCCCGTCATATAACCACTATCGTTCTACATAGGAAATATATAGATTAACTGTGTGCATTACATAAAATAAAATGTATATTTACCGGCATTAGCAAAGGATCTGTTTCAAAATTGTCTTGATCTTTACGCATAATATCTGTGATATCATCAAGCCTGGTAGGTGTATCAGGGAGTTCTCGTATCGGACCCGATTTCTTGACAAGCTCAGCAAATGCCTTTTTGAAAGGCGTAGGTGTACGAGGGGTATCGCTAATAAGCAGACGGTTCTTGCTGGGAGTTGTCGCCTCAGATGTTGAGGATCTGATAAGAGGTATTCCGTTGGGCGTCGTAAGGGGACTGTAATCGTTATTCTATAAATGGAAAATATTAATATACTTTCTTCTTCTTATAATATTCTCAGTTTCTTACCGGTCGAATTCTGTTCTTAATAGGCGTTGAGGCTTGAAGAGATTTGTTCTTGACTGGTGTAGATGCCAACGTAACGTCGAAGGAGATGTTGGGACTGTTGAGGAACTGCGATGGACTGAAGGGCAGTTCTTTATTGGGAGTTGATCCACTTGCCCTCATGGGTGTATCGAGTGAGGACAACTGTTCATCGACAATCGGCGTGTCCAGGATGTTGGAGAAGGTGGACTCATTTATACCGCTATCGCTGTCCAAGCGTTTGCGGGATCTCGAGCGGCGCAAAATTGACGGTGTTGGTGCTCGTTGCATTTGCACTGCAGTCGAGACAGGTACTAGAGCATTTTGTTTAGTAAATTCGGCAGGTACGATTCTGGTTTTGATAAAATGCCGATTTATGTCGGCACCCTTCAGAGGGCTGACTCCTGGTGATGCATAGAAATCGGGGATACTATCAATCTGGTTCATCTCCAGATTGTCATAACGGAATGGTGATATTTCGTTACCGTTAGACTCCTGCGGAGATAGCTTGTCGTAGGCGAACATTTGGGTGGGCGTCAACGGCGAAGGGCTTGGCGTGGCCGCGGTCATATTCGAAGATTGGCTGCTGGCCTGGTCATAGAACTCTGCAAAATCTTCTGAGTAGGCGGGCAACGTCTCCTTCAGACACTGGTTTTCCATTGGCACCTCCATATGCCTGGTGGACTGATGGTAACTTTGCCGCGCAGCGGCACTCTTCCTGCCTCGTCCTCGTTTACCTTCCCCATCGCGCTGCTCGGACTCGTATTTTCGACGCATCGTTGAATTCCAATGATTCTTAATGGCATTGTCTGTCCTACCCGGCAACAGTTTCGCTATCTTCGCCCACTGGTTACCCCATTCTTTGTGTGCTCTGTATATAACGTCATCTTCTTGCTCTGTCCAAGCAGACTTCTTAATATTCGGATTCAGATGGTTATGCCACCTCTCCCGACACTGTTTTCCTATTCGCCCCTTCAGGTGTCTAGCGATTAACGTCCATTTCTTCGGGCCGTATTTCTTCACCAGCTCTATTACTTTCTCATCCTCCTGCAGAAAACGAGAGCACAAAATAAGAAATAAAACAAAGTTTACTTTGACCAGGGCAAATGAACATAATTGTAGAAACAAATATATAAAACCAAGGTCCCGGAATCCGTAAATCAGGTTCTTGCGAACTATTTAAATACAGCCTGTTAAACGTTAGCGCAAATAGACAGAAAATATTAATACATAATGAATAAATTAGTGTAAACCTCGTATTGCGTAAGAAATAAGTTCTTAAATGATAAATAATATTAGATATTGTTGAGACTATTTTTTTAAATAATTAAACGAAATAGTAATTTTGGATATTGTAATAAAATATTTAAATTGAGAGAAATATTCGGAAATAGTTTGCAGTTTTCCATAAGATCGAATAATGCCACACCCGGTATATTATGTTTTTTTTTCCCCCGCTTTATTTGTTATAGCTATTTGAACATGTTGCAATGAAATAACTAACATAAAGCTCGTACCAAAATAGCAGCAATAAAATGACAAAAAGTTATCTCTCCTCAGTTATCAAAAGAAAACAACGTAAATAAATATTTGTTGGCATGAAGAGGACTATATAATATTTATATAATTTTACAATTTTCAAGTGTAACTTTTGAGCAATTGGCGAGAAATGGCGCGTAAATTTCATTCTCACGAAATGCACGTCGGCGTGTCCAAAGATCCTCACGAACGTCAGTCACAAATACAGCAAAACTTGAGGATCGAAGTGCACACGTGTGTGTGAGTGTATATCGTGCCTTATGGTGGTTTAAACATATGTCACTTCCGAACCTTGTAGTGAGACGCATCACATATGGTACCGTTCCGGAAGTAAAAAGTTCGCAGAAAATGAAACCATTATTTTTCGCATCGGCATTAAAATAATGCTCTGCCTAGTTATTCTCGTTTCGACGGCCTTTGTCATCATCATCACCATTATTATGTTTCTGTCGAGCGAGGGAAGCCCATGAGGAGAGTTCACTACACCGACCGGTTTCTACCTCGTCATATTTCAATCCGAACGCGCTAACTTTTATCTGTTCTCACAACGGCCAGCGACGGGCAAGCAACCAATGGATCAAAGAACCAGGGTTTTCTACACCTCGATCTCGTAAACATCATGGCAGATAATAAAATAGTGTCCATTCAATGCGGACACTTCTTTCATCCGTACTGCATAATATAAGATCACTTTATTATTATGACTTCCATTGACGTTAAATATATTCCTTATGCACATACGAGTTTACAATTTATATATTAGTTTACAGAAACTATAATAATTATAACGTAATCGTATATTTTATATGAAAAATATACTATTATCAGACATAATTCTAATGCAAAATATATTGCATAATATATACACAAATAAAATAAATTTAAATATAATTATTTATAACTATTTCAAAGAAAGAGCTTTATAATTTATTAAAAAGAATTGAAATTGAAATGTTTACATTAAATAACAATGTTTAGGATGTGTTTACTATTTCTTAATTTAAAAATATCAACGTTGATTGAACAGCAATGCGTATTAAACTAATGGAAGCGCATATTTAAACTTATGTAGTTCTTAGTAATGACATACAGAACGAATGTCATCATAGAGAAGTTCCGTTTTGTATACAGTTATACGGTTATTGGAGACATTCTTGATGAAATTGGAAAGTGAAAATCTTTGGAACCGAACGGCAGGACTTCGGTTACGCAACGGAGGTGATCGGAGGTCATTCAGGCAAGATTCATGATCAGTCCTGATTCTCTCTTCGGCATCGTTTGTAGATCTTATTACTATCCGCTCACTTACTTCTTTGGTCCAAGGTCCTTTGACCAGTTCCGGATTGACAACTTTGGCCCATCGCTGCTGGCACTGTACATCCGAACGGTCCGGAAACTTTTCCGCGATGTAATCCCAACGCTCGCTGTAGTCGTCGACGAGCTGTTTCAGCTTATTGTCTTCGTCCTTGCTCCATCTACCTTTGTTGATCAACTTCTTATTCCTCGCATTCTGGCCTTCCTCATTCAAACCCGAATCGTCTGACTCGTCGTTTGCGCTATCATCCGAATCATTATGTTTTCTGTAAAAAAAAAAAGATTTTTTTTATACTAAGAAACTTTGAATTATATTGCTAATATTCAGTAAATTTTTTATTTTAATAAAAATAATTAATTTATAATGCATGAGATAAAATAAAGACGAACGTGCTAATAGCGATTAAAATTCTTGGACTGGAACCATGGGAACTTTTCTTTGGGTTTATCGAGGGGGGACTTGGTGGGAAAATGTTTCACCCCCTAGACTTAACAAAACGTATACACAGTTCACCTCCTATTACAATGCGATGAAGCATTTTGTTATTTATAATTATCCCATCTACATACTCCCTTATTTTCCATCAAATAATTTATTTTAATGTTTCGATTTTTAATAAAAATACATTAATAATGCTTTCGTTATTTCACGAAAGATTAAAAAAGCGTATCGGGCAGATAATGAAATGCTATCGTTTCCTTTCCAAGACGGCGGAAGTGCGTGCAATGTAAGTAGCAGTAGCCAGAACGAAGAAAGGGGTGAGAAGGCGTCTTTTAGTAGCAGGAAAAGGAAGGGACTATCCTTTGCGACCATTATATCCACTTTTCAACCATAATTCCTGCGTCCCTTTGTCTCGCGATCTATTGTGGTTCTCATCAAGATCGTAAACATAGTTGATCTTGACAATAAAATAACTAAGAAACGATTATTTCGCGCCACATTTCTCTTTTCGTTTCCTTTATACCATTATTAGAAGGTAACTATGATTAATATAAACAGGTTTCTACTTCCTTTTTAATTAATTCCATTAATATTTACAAGATAAACACTTGTATCACCCTTTGTAACAGTTTGCATTTTATTTTTGTTATTATATTAAGTTTCTTTTTAAATTTTGTAATTTAATGTTGCAATACTTATAATGTATATTTCTGTACAATATATAATGTCAGTATACTGCATATTCTGTAGTTCTTCAGAAAATGCAATAACCTAATGCTAACCATTTTAAGCTTGATTGTCTGGAATTTGCTCAAAATATGTGAATGTTCGATATAATAAGATTACAAATGTAAATGTTCGTAAATTAATACATTTTAAAATGTGAATAGCACATCATGTTCATCTTCGTTTCCTTCCTTCTTTTTAATCTTAGTACAGGGTTGATGTATGAATCTAACGAGGTCAAACACGAGCCTTGAACTAAGCGCATCCTATTTACCAACGACATACATTACATTAACATAATATGTACTTCTCTTTATTTAATGGGACAGGTATCGAAGATCTTACCCCCAGAGATTACATAATAGAAAATAGAATATTCCCATAGGTAAACTGGAAGGAATCGAATAAATTACAGGCGAAAGGGGGAGCGAATGAGCAATAGATAGATAGGTGCGAAAAGTGTCCGGCCTTAAAGCATTTACTCAAGGGGTAGAAAACCCTATTTACTCTTTTTCCCACTGAGAGTCCCCCAAATCTAATAACAACAGCAGCTCCTAAAGAAGAAAACTTGAGAGAGCCAGGAGAAAACTTCGTTCTCATGATATTTCTCTGAACATGTATATATTATAAAATAACACTAAAACCTCTACATTTAAGTATTTTTTTTCATAATGTATCTTATTATAAAGTATCTTGATTTATATGTATTCGTATGATGAAATGATAATTGTCAACCAATTTTACAGAGATTTCGTAGTCCATTTGAAGAAGATTCATGTGTAATTAATAATAATCGGCAACATTTACGTTGTAGTTCATCTCGTGATAAACTCTCCTGATATGTACTAAACTGTTTACATATCCAGCGATTATAAGTTTGTAAATTTTATGCAGACTTGCATCTATTCAACATTTTAAATTAGTAACAGTTTTTAAGTTGTCTTGCAAATTGGCAAATATATTAGCTTTCAAAGTCAATTAAATTTAAGCACGTTCCTATTGTATAAAATACAGTAACCTCTTATGATAATATAACATCTTACAGTTGAGACAGACTCTTGTGAAATTAATTTAGTTAGTCTGTTTCTATAAAGTTTTATATATCAGAAAATTGCAATTGAAATACGCTTACCGTACAGCGTTTGAAAATAGTTAATATGTAAAATATTCGGGTAATAGAGTAATGATATGAAATGTATCGGTAATATCAATATGGTATTTTTATCTAATCATAGTTGTTTGCTTAAATAAATCGAACGCTTGTTGGTATTCAAAAATATAAGAAAACTTGGCAGCTTATTAAAGTATTATTGAGATTAAAATTACGAATTTATGTTTCTTGAACATCTTCATTCTTCTTCCTTACAAAATACACTTTAATGAGGAGGTATGTTACTTCCTAGTATTTCCTGGTTAGAAGACTATAAAATTATATCGATCAAATTGTACCATCTGCTTGTGGCCGTAGAAAAGCGGAGAGGCACACCTGCCTTCGACCCGTATCACCCCATCGTACCCATTAAGCGCACCCAAACGAAGGGAGCGAATGAAAATAATAAAGAGAAAAAAAAACAACAGAGGCGTATACAATATTGTGGACATAGATGACTTTTTCCTATCCTTATATGCAAGAGGTGAATTATCTCCCGCCAATTTTAGAGTTTATTTCCAGAGTATGTTTTTATATTTCATTTATTTCGAGAAGTCTCACGCGTCGCATGATAGTCGCGGCATCGCGCGTATATTTCTTTTCATATTATTATTGCACGAGGGTTGCTGCTGTAGATCAACGCAGCTGTTCGTTAACCAACCCCCTCCACCTTATAAGGGTGTCCCTCTTTGTGGATTCCCACAGCGAACCCTCCCAGACTAGTTCCTCTGCAAAACAAAAAACATAGCAGAAAGGGAAAAGTAACTGGGAGATACAAGCGAAAAGAGAGAGAAAGAAAAAGGTCCAAGTCAAAGAAAATCCAAAAAAGTGAAGAAATTATTCCACCATTGTGCGTCCTACCAAGGGGAACACCCCTCAAGATGTCCCGCCAGACGCGTGCCCCGAAACCAGCAGCTGCCTCTCCCGAGGAGAAGTTTCTTTTTCCTTTCCTTTATTCCTTCTCAGATAAAAGAAATTCCCTCCTTGCGATTTATCCAAGGAAATAATGTATAAAAACTTCGTTGTGTACATGTACTCTTCCATTCTTATCCGAAAGCGGAAAGCAGGGTGGCGCGGCAAAATGTCAACTCTCCTCCTTGAATCAGCTGTTCTCTTGATAAATTATATAATCGGAGGAGGCCCGAGTATTCCCGCGCCGCACACATGCCACGTTTTCTTACGTAATAGACGTCCTTCTTCATTCGAAAAAAGGGCGCGCTTTTTCCTACGGCGCGGCGTGCCAGCCGGAACATATGCCGTTCTCGATGCACATTTCGTTCCCGAATTGCACCTGCATCTAAGAAAATCGAGGGCGAAGAACTAGAGAGACGTTCAACTCTAACTGTATTATAATTTCTTCGAGGGTGTAATGAACTTCTTCTCTACCAGGACCTATGTGGGTCCACACCTGAACCTTTCTCGGTCATCAAATACGAACATAACATACGCTATAACTCTAATTTCAATATTAAAAAGAGCGCACGTGTACCTATAATACAGAGTAACCTTATATAATATTAAATACAGGCAAAGCATCCGATTATTACAAAAATGTTTTTTTTTTAAATGAATGATCAAATAAGGGTCGAAATTACCTTTAAGATATCTAAACAATTGTATTACCTAAATAAGTAGATATTTAGTTATAATACTTATCATTAGTATTTTAGCTTTCACAAGTATTTCAGTAATTATTTAAAATCATTTTATCTTAATACATTTAAATCTAAGTCTCGTTCGCAATGTAAAGTGTATAGCACGATAATTATTCTTTTTTCATATAGAAATCATAAGCAGCAGTAGCAATATTATTTACAAACAAAACTTTAGGTATGAAATTTGCAAATGCTAAATATTGTTGTAAATTTTGCACGTATCTGAATTCGAGAATTTGGTAAAGGGTGAATATGAAATGGATTTCCTATTTCCCACGTGTTTACATGCCGGTGACTTTTATACAAGGCACCGTGTAAGCATAATTTACATAAATTTAAGCCTAATTTGTATGACAGGAATTGAGCAACATCTTGCGTACACATGAACACTCGATACCAAGAGAGACGAAGATATAAATACTGAGAACACAAGCGAGAAAGCAAACTCAAGAAAAATAAGCGCGTCGCGTTGATCATTCTTAAACTTAAAAATACCTAATTCTCACGAAAATAGCTGCTTTTTGTTCCTGGAACTCAAAGTGTCCTGCATTTTACATTTATTCAAATTAGATTATCAACTATAATTAGATAAGTATATTTCTCATTTATTATTACAGTACTGAAAAAAAGTCTAGTTGGAATTTGCAGATCTGATGCGTATTTAAGTATAGATGGGTTAAATGTAAATAATACCGCTTCTGAAAGATAACCCAATAAGATTATACGTTTCTTTTATGGATATACGTATTCGTGTCTGTTTCCTTGGCTAAGGAACATTTTTTAATGGGACGTTTGTGTTGAAATTCGCGACCGTTGGGTATTTGCATGATGTCATTGAATGTCGGGCGTTTGGAAATTTGCGCGCCAGAACCTAGATTATTTTCGTTTTCAGCAATTGCAAGCTGAGAATAAAGGAGGTATGCGGTGCTGTTTGCTAAAACGACAGAATAAGAAAAGAAAACACGAAAATAGGAAACGAAGCTGCCCGCGTCTCACCTCCTTGAAACCAAACAGGAAACGATAAGATAATATGCGTTGGTAACAAGACCCATATTTTTATTAAAGCGTGGGCGCAATCCCGTATGGAGAGGATGAACGTGTGTTATTCATATAGCGTTCTGAAAGACCTTTAAAGATACATGAAATACAAGGGACAAGGGAAAGTGGGTACCTATGTATGCACTATATCAAGAGTCTCTTTTCTTTCCATGCCATATCTGCGCCCTCTTCTACCATAAAGAGTCGTTCCCACAGATGATACAGACATGGCTGCATGCTTGGGGGCAGAGATCAAATGTCTATTCTAAACACCACCACGACTACTTACACCGAAATATAGTTTGTGGACGGGACATTATAGTACAGGGCCATAATCCTGCTTGCCTCGTCTTTCCTCAGAGAAATTAAAGTCAGAGGGCCTGGAGGGCTAAGCACAGCACGATCACTTAACCAGTCCACAACATAGAGCGCGAAATACACCAATCCTTGTACTTCCAATGTTAACACACGTTCAGGACTGTCTTTCTGATCTACTCTCTCCAGTTACCTTCTTCTCTTCACGACCTCGACTGACGCGTGTTGAATCATGGCGGTCCATACTCTCCCTCCACTTCAACTGTGGCTACAATTTGATGCACGCTTGCGCATATCCAAGTTGAATCTACTGAAATTTGATAGAATCAATTACAACATTAATTAAAAACATTGGCAATGAATATACATTCCAACATTTCTATTCAACTCGAGCAATTAGCAACAGATATATATTGAAAATCATTGATAATCCACTAATGATAATTAGGGTTGCCATGCGTCTGGGTTTTCTCATACATGTCCTCGTTTTCAGGCATCTTCTGGAATCTTCAACATTTATGTTTATTTATATTTACCCAATTGTTATTATAAAAATTATTGTCCTAATTTACAGTCAAACATGGCAAATCATTCGTTCAACATTACAGAGTCTCTTTCTAATTGTAATAATGTGATATTTAAAACTAAATTATAATAAATGTAGTATACGTAATCTAATGATGTTTTCATTCTTCAGTTATTTTTGATAACTATTAGGTATTTTTTAAAATATCTATCACTAAAACTACTTTGAGCAAAATTGTTGGCGGTATAACTCTCTTTAGTTGGGAAACTAAACTAACTATATTCATCTGTATTATTTTTAAAAATTATTAAATTTTACTAAATCTAATTGTATTAGGTAAATAACAATATTTAATTGTAGAAACCGTCAAAGATCCAAGTGTGTTTGAAGTCCATAAACGGTACATTTTTTTTTATTATAATGTAATAAAGACTTGTGTATTTGCAATATTATATCTTTTTTAAAGTGAACCTTGGATTGCGAGTATTTCACAAGACAATTATATTTTTTTTTTAAATAATTTTTAACTTGATAAACGAGCGAAATTTTGCAATACAAATGTATTGTTAAGAGAGATTAAATAAATTGCATATTTTTTTTATTATTAGACATATTTCACTAAAATATTTGTTAATATCACTTTGCGATATAAAGATTTAAACGTCGAGGATAGGATTATACAAGAGGTAGTAATAAATAGACTGATTTAAATATTAACATTATTTTCTTTTTTAATATTTATCATATTTGTGTATGTTACGGATATTTTATTAACGGTAAGAAAAGAAATATAATCGAGAACAAACAAATATTAGACTTCATCCGATATATATATATAATAAAAAAAGAAACAATATTGAAAAAAAAACATGAAATAATATAGGTTTTTCTATTAGTGTTAATTCTTGAAAATAATGATATTTTGAAAGATAAATAAGTACGAGAAATTTGTGGAAGAGCTTGTTTCCTTCTCTCAACCTTATTTTTTATTGTGTTTAATGGTTTTTATGCTACTATTCTTTTGCAATTTATAATATATATATTATCTATTTAGAGAATTTTGGGTAGGCTCAAGAAAGAGCCAATGAAATAATTAATCCATAATTTCTAATAAAATATAAAATCATTAACATTTATATTTAAGTTCATAATAATAATAATAATAGTACGATAATGTATGTAGAAACAATTTCCACACACATAAATATATATGCACATATATAAATATATACACAAACATACATATTTAGATATACCTATACACACATATAGCATACTCAAAAAAAGAACAGTTTCAAAAATTGATAGAATATGAATGTATATCATCACTTTTGATACATTGTGCATAACAACCTAATTTTGGTCGACGAAAAAAATGAATATGCAGTAACGTGTATAAAAGAAAACTTGTTCGTAAACAGAAAAAAATAATGTTTGAAAAAAGAGTAAAGAGAATAGGCAAGAACTAAATAATGTTTTGATCCCTATCCGATTATGTATACGAACGAGACCCGTACGCCAAAGGACCAATTAGAAATTTGTAAAATATACAATATGAAAAGATAAGAAGAAAAGAAACAGAACATTTTCAACAATAAACAAATATCACAATTCGCACTAATTTAGGAAACCAAATCAGGCACATAAAGATGAAAGACTTCCAAACAATTTAGGAATAAAGTATAGACTTTTTTTTTGGATGATTCAAGGGACGGAATTCATATATATATATATAATATTTTTTCAAAGAAAAATTGGCTGGAAGCCCTAAAAGGTTCTTTAAATTTCGAGAATCGGTCGATTGGCTAGCCGGGTTAGCGAGCGTAAATATTTGAGATTATATATTTTTGTTTTCAAAACATCTAACCAGTTTTTAACAGTGATTGTCTCTTACAATATCGCTAGGACTTAATCCGGCGGCAAGTAGCTGAACAGTTTGAATTTATTGCGGATATGTGGACGAACATCTTCTTGCTAGAATGAAAAAATTATTAATATGGATATATAATTGAATATGGAAGAACATACCAATTGCACGAGGTCCTCGAGGAACGGCAAAAGTTTCATCAATTCTGAGTCTGTGCGATCGACGAACCAACTCTCAATGGGAATGCCGTTGTTCAACTTTAAATATTATGTATTGTAGTGGATATAGTTCATTTATAAATCGTAAACTTACGTGATAACCGAAAGCCTGCGGTGAATTATCGACGATGATAGTTTTGCTCAGATCTCTTCCAAGTATTGAGAGGTCTTTGATATAATTTCCATTGACGCAAACGCAATGTTCTCTGAACAATCTGTACTTGATCCATTTTCTCTCTGGATCCAGTAGATTGAGGAGCTTGTCGGCGTAAACTCTCTTACTTGCAGTAAACAAAATTACCTCAAACATGGAGGCAACTTTCTCCATAAACTCTTTAAAGTACGGTCTTGTTCTTACATATACTGTGTAAGAGCAATCCTGGAATAGGACTGGAAAGTGGAAACTCGCATCCGATAGTTCTTGGAGGCTGCAGTGTACTAGGGTTTCATCCAGGTCAAGCACCAAGCTAAACTCTGGACTCGATCTAGTCTTCAGCGGTAGTGCTGGACATTTTGATCGCATCTCGAAGGTGAGAGGAGGCAAATGTTTGATAAAAACGTACGGGTCAAATGCCTCCCAAGTGTCTTCGACTTCTACATGCTCCGGCTGCTTATCAAGCCTTTCCTCGCTCTGGACTACTCCACTGATCAAACTAGGGTCTGGCATTGGATGATTGTATAAAGTAGTATAATCGTAGCTGTTGATATTTAACAGTTCTCCGTTCTTGGTCATCTCCTCGTCTAGGAGCGTGGAGAAATCCTGGGTGTTCACATTACTTAGATCGATGTGCAAATCTTGGTAATCGGTCTTCAAAGTGTAATCATAATATTCGCAGATCTTCTCCGTATAATTCTGATATTCTTGTGTTTTGTATATATCAACATGGTGCATCGTTTCACCACAGCTAATGTTCAGGTCATTTCCCTCGATGCTCGAATACTCGATCTCTTTCGGCAGATCAACGTTGTTCGACATCTCCAACATCCTCACCTCTGACTGACTCTCCACTTTGGCATTAGAAATATTCTGCTGCTTTTCTAAGGACCGCTCCAAGTGCGAGTTTAATTCATTGTCGTAGATCTCAGGAACAAGTTGCGATTGCAGATCCTCCTTACTTTCCTTGTCAGCCAGCTTAACAGCATCCTTGCCCAAAACTGGGCCAAACTTCGTGGAACACCTCTTTTGTGGTCTCTTCAACTTTTTAATTTTATTGCGGTAAAGTGTAAGTGCTTTAAAGCTTTTGCTTCGCTCACTTCTCAACCACATCTTGTATGGGCATCATATTTACTGTAATTACAAATTACTAGCATTAATGCAAATATTCTATTAGTAATCATATACATCTAAGATGTTTAACTACATTTGTTTATAAAGATAATTAGTTTTCAATAGATTTTCACGATAATATTGATCATAATTCCCGTGAGACACATATCGTGCATGTGTTTCTAGATCTAAAAAAAACTCAATTCCTTATTTATATTTCTATAAAGAATACCCAATATTAATTGACTGTTGATGACAATTTCTAATTAACTTTATACATTTTTAAATTATTCCAGGTGGTAATGTAGTTACTTTAATATATTTATAGTAACAAATATAATATATAGTTACTCATATTTAAATTGGGGTTCCACATAATGACCTAGTAGTTATTAAAATTAAGCAGAACACAAGAAATGATAAATCTAGGCAAAGAAATAAGAACATACAAGTTTTATATATCAATGGAAAATAATATATTTATTTAAACATTTATCAAAAAACGACAATCTATAGCGATTTTTCTAAGAATTATCTCATCTTGTACAAACATAATTTGAAAAAGAAATGAGTGAATTTAAATGTAGACTACGAATAATAAATATTTCGCGTATATCTAAATTATAATGTAAATGAAGGAAAGTACATATATTAGTGAACAGTGTATTGGAAAATTTTAAATGGAAAAAATCATTAATGTGTATGTATGTATGAACGTGAGATGTGGAATAGGCGGCACAAGCAAATTTGGATCTTACGGTATATGCTCTTAAGTTAGCAAATGGCAAACGCAAAAGTGGGCGTCCCGAAATATTCCCGTTCCCGCGGTGTCAAAAAGGAGGGACACAACAACAGGAAAAAACAAAACAAATATAGGGATTGTTAAATTGCCGCGAATTTTAACATAGGGCATAGTTAAAAATGAATTCTCAGCATAGAAGTACAATGTAATTCATGTGAATAAACAATATGCAGAACATACAGCAGAAACTAATATACGATCTGTATTGAATGCGCGTTTTTTAGGGGGGAAATTTTCCGTTTCCGCAAAATATTAGCGGCGGCATCGTATGTCGTTTAATACATATGTGCGGCGAAAAATCAAAGCTGTATTACCTGCAAGGCGGCGCCGGAAAATCCTCACGTTCGTCGTCGAGAAACCACGAAAAATAGATTTTCTTCAGTGAAGCCAAAGCCAGACACAAAGCATCGCAGCAAAATGGCGGCACACGCCACCCCCACCATTCAATTGTTTATGGATCGACGCGTGCGCGCTAATTCTGTCGCAACCATAGGTTGCCTATTCATTGATCTCATCTAGCAAAAGGGGATAAAAAAAGGACAGCAGAGCAGCTTACTCTAAATACTATATATCTTATATAAATGTTATAATTTAAAAAATAATACGAATATCCTATCTGCTATATGGATGTATCTGTGTGGCGCTCTTAATGTTCGTTTTAATAGCTGATGGAGCTTTGTTCATGGTCATGGGTTGAGTGCTTGGAGGCATTGGCCCAGGCCCTGAACCTGGCCTTCCTGGTGGAGGAACCATGCAACCTGTAGGACCAGGTTGTCCGTTCGGGTTTCCAACCATCTAAAATACACAAATTAATATGCAATCCCCACATAATTTCCGAATCTTACTTTCAAACCCTTTCCCATGCTGACCGCTGCAACTAACATATCCGTATCGGCAACATTCGAATTTTGTTGTGCATTTCCGCGAGATGAAGATTCAACTTCCCATTCTTCCCTAGACTTACTAACTATGTCCCAAATGTGTGATACCACCTTTTGATAAGCTGCAACTTGTTTCTAAAATAAAAATATAATTAATTTATTATCAAAGATGTCTTCTCATATGAATGGTCTTCCAAAATATAAGATAAATACTACATACTATCATTGATATTGAAACATACATACCTGAGCATTATCATAAGTCAATGAAGCTGCTTTATGTTCTAGTTGATTCATTTTAGTCTCTGCCATAGGTTCAAGCTTGGTACGCAGGTAATCTGGAACTATATCATGAGCAAATGTAGAAACTCTGTGCTCAGTAACTTGTGCCAACTGTTCATCTCGTTCAGGAGACAGCATCAATGGCAGGATAGTCAAATTCCTCAACGGTGGACATTTATCATGACTTAGAATCTTTGAAAGGGAAGTTAACTGAAAATAAGTATATTAATAGTAGTGCTTTTGTTAATTGTTGTCCCATTTATTTACATGTCCAGAAAGCAAGGCATAGTTGTCCAAAAATGTAGGCCAGTTCATAGTATCATATTCATTTTCCACTTTGAATATCATTGCAGCTATTGATGATTTCAAATCATTTACTCTTAGGATGATTGATTCTAAGGCAGATTCCAATTGCTTCTCTTCGCGTTGCTGCATCTTCTTAATTTAGGAATTACAGTAATTCTTAAGCTTCAGTTAACTTATGGCTTGCACAAATACACTGTTCACGACTGACGTGTTGTGTTATGTTTAGTATGGTTCAATTGTTCAATTATGTTGTTGTTGGAATTTGTAACCTCAAAAATGACCAGTTGTCAATCACGAACATCGTTTGACATTGGGTGGGAGGTATTTTTTTGTAATTAAGAATTACAGTATTTTAATATGTTTATAACTACAAAAGCATACATATGTTATGTTCATCAGTGCCATCTTTTGAAATTTGAGGCCACATACATAAATATAGAGTGGAGTGGGGACCACAGTAATTAAATAAGAAGTATATTGCGAAAACTTTAAATTTTCATGGAAAAAAAAATCATGAATTCTGTTTTAGAATCCCTATCATTAGCGAATATACGCCCAGTTAACCGACCTTTGAAACATTATTGATGTATCATAAGTAGTATCGCATATACTAGGCAACCGATTATATTCGCCTGCTTCAAAATAGTATATATTACTTATACATATTTTATTGCAAATCTACTACGTTATTAAAATAGACTGCATAAACAAATCAAACATTAATAGAAAATAATAATCAATTATTGTTTTAAATTTAAGTTTGTTAATGTACTTCTTTAATTTATTTAAATCGATAAATAAAATTATATATAGGATTGACTTGTGTAGTTTTATTTATTTTTTCTTATGTACATAATTAAATTTTGATTTATTTTTAAAACAATTTTGACTAGGACAGAAAGAAGAATAAAATACAATAAACAATATTTTACAACGCTTATAGAAAAATAGATAAATTTAAAAAACTTTGTCACTTAACATTTCAGTGATCCAAGATACGCAAATTGCCGGAAACAATTTTATTTTCGAGGCAAGCACCCGATGGAATGTCGATTCGTTCGCCATGATTTGCTATTATTATTACAGTTCCCTAAAACAGAATAAAATTGTTAATAATATATAGTTGGTATTTTTCAAGTGCTATTACTTTTAGCGATACGCTTCTGCCGAAAGTTACGTCGCCGGAGACTGTAAGATGATCCAATTCAATAAGATCGGGTATATTGGCAAAACGCATCAGAAAGTCTTTGACCTTGCTGAAGTTGTTGTCTCCTAGTTTGACCAGCGGCGTCGTTGGGAACATCCTTTGCGGCGACATAACCAGTGATCCGTTCTTCAGACTGTACAGGTTGCTCATGACCAACAGCAGGTCCGAAGTCTTTTTAACCGGTAAAAAGCGACTTCTAGGCACATTGATTCCTATGGCATCGTTGAATACTTTCATGGCCGCCCCTACAGCAGTCTCTAGCTGTATGACGTTTAAATTGTTTCCTTTGTGCTTTATTGTTTTGTTATTGACGATGATCTCCATATTCAAGGTGTCTTCATTTAGAACGCGCTCGATGGCTGGAAATGAAAAAAGTGATAAGGAAATCTTTACATCAAAAATAATGTGATTAAGATCTAGAGAATGTGCGATCTTTTGATAAAATACTTTAGATTTGTAATAATCCATTTGCGAAAACGAAATGATTTTATCTCGTGACTTACCATCCAGCTTGGCCCAGATATTGTTAGTGTTGAAGAACTTGAACTTCTTCACGGATTTGAATTCGTCTACGTGCTCACTGGGCACCTGCGCTATCTCGAGCAGTCTTAACTTATTCTCGTATTGGATTAGAGTGCCTCCTTTAACATCGGCTTTTGTTTTGTCCGTAACCTCCATGACAAATTCATGAGCGGTTTGCTCTTTCGGGTTCAGCAGCATATTGAGAATATTTAGATCGACAGTGGCACCTAAATTGTCGATGTTCGAAATAAAACAGTATTCGCGACCTTCCTTGATGAATTTGCTTAAAAATCCAGAGTTCTGGAAGCTCTTGTAGAAGTCGCCGTGTCCTGGCGGATACCACGCTTCTAGTTCATTGTCTACGTCGTAGCTCTTCGCGATGGGTAGCAAGTTCTCTCGGTTCACTCTAGGATAACAAGATTGGTTGAACGTGTAAATTTCGATTTGCAAATTCTTGTATTTTCTAACTATTTTCTCAGTATCTTCATCGGTATTGAAAGAGTTCATGAGAACGAGAGGGACGTTCGTATTGTAGGTTTTGTTCAAATGCTGCAAGGGAAATAGTGTGTTATACGTATATTTATTGTTAACGTTGCGATCTTACTTCAATTTGCTGCACCGTCAAATCTAGGAAGGTCAAATCGTTTCTAACAGTGATGACTGATTTGGGACCATGGCATCCCATTGAGGTTCCAAGGCCACCATTCAGCTTTACTACTACCAGCTTCTGTAGCATCATCTGGATGAGATCGGTGGTGGGAGTCTCTAGTGTTTTGTAATTACGGACTGCATCCTCTGGTAGCTTTTCGATTCTCTCCCACTCAACGGATGGGCCTTCTTCCTTCAAAAATCTTTCGAACAGGTTTGCGAAGCCATGCATCTCCTTTCTAACCAAATCACGTTGGTCTGGCAAAGCCTTCTCCGACAGCTTGCAAAGCTCCTTCTGCAAATTATTGAGCGCATCCTGTTTGGTCGCTTCGCGGAACTCTCGTGATCCGCTGGAAGCTCTCGAATGGCTCTTCACCTATGATTAATTATAATAAATCATTTATTTTATTAAACATAGATTCTAACATTATCAATTGCGATTCTTCTTATAGAAATCATCGTTTTTAAATTAAGACATTGTACTTCCTTTGCTTTATACATTTTATACGTTAATAAATTTGTATTGGAATTACAATAACAAAATTACTTACTGCTTCTAATAAATCCATATTGAGAAATGTTCGTATGTGAATGTATAAATATTTCTAAGGCACTCTAACTCTTTGATAATAGAGGGAATTTAAAAATAATGCTGCACGCAAATGATAAGTCTACTTCTATCTGTTTGAACTCTACGACTAAATCTGTGTAGCGCACTGATAAACTTTTTATTTGACGCAGCGGGAAGAAATTAAATTCGCTTATCGCACATTAACGAATATCTAAATTTGATTACAAGTATTGTTCCATCGAATAACAAAGAAAAAAATATAAAAACGACATAAATTGATTAATCTTTTGTGTGTTTCAAGTTCAAATACCTTACAAATGTGGCCAAATGATAAATTCATGCTGATCGTTTCTAGCGTTGGCCGTGGAGGCTGGTTTCGCACTGAACATATTACTAATTTATTTGTATTTTTTTTTTGCTTGTAGTGTTAAGTAATCAGTGTTGTGTGCGCTTCATACGTGCGTTGAAAATAAACAAGCAAAAAATGTTCATTGACACGTTTGAAAACTTTTCCAACTGCAATTTTTCTTCAAAATGGTATATGAAAATTTGTTGCTAAATTAATAATTTGTAGATAATATTGTATGTAGAGGGCACACAATAAAAACCGATGAAAAACACAAAAAATCATTTATTACAACATGAACCATTTGCATTATTTCGTTTATGGATTTAATAATAGCAATAATAATCTGTATTGGTTCAAAGGTCAGTTATGTCAAAATATAAATTTCAGTGACAACCGCGGCTGTTGCAATTGAAGGTTTTATTTAATATTGTTAAGAACATCAAAAAAATGTATGAAAGATATTATATTTGGTAATTTTATTCTATATGCTATCATAGAAGTGAGAATGGCAATAATTAAACTATTATTTATCACGAGGTATTCACCATTATTTCTTTTTATTATCTATATTTATATGAATGGAAAAAACGTAGTTCAATCACCTTTTTTCTCCGCTCATTATTTTATTCTATTGTGATAAAACTTTTTGTTTTTCAATCATTTTGAATTACAATCAATTTATAGATTGAACTCAGGTTGCAAAAAATAATATTAGATTAATATTGATAATTCATTTGGCGATTAACAGATTAAGTCAACATTATTTTTGGCTAACTGCGTGATAATCGCAGATAGCGTATGTGTCCGACGACACAACAGTATGTGAATAAATGCGTTTCCAATGTACGATGAACAGATAATTCGAACGTTCCATAATTTATTATTATTACATACATTTTTATTACCTCGCAGTGTTCAAAACTCCAAGGTCAAATCAATTGAATTCTCCATTACGTCGCTGCCTGAATGATGTGTTTTCGTAAGTAAATGGTATTGTATCAATTATTATGCCACTTATTACGAGAACATAAAATATGATATTTCAATGTTGAGCAGATGTATATTCCACTAAATAAATTATTTATAAAATAACGGAATAATTTGAACAGGTTTGTATTCAGTTATAATATTTTAAAATAATTATAAAGTTTGAAGTAGGTTATCAGGCAACCAATTATACTGATGTCCTCCAACTTTATATGTTACATACTTATGTCATTTTTAGAATTAGTAGTAGTAACATTTTTGTTTTGTAAGATTAAGGCGGAATTTTAACTTGACCTACTGTAGAGTCACCTTGGGATTCTTTACTTATCATAATTATATTTTATTTAAAGTAATAATAAGCCAGAAAGTTTAAACTTTTGACATTTACTCTCGATGAACATATCAGAGCTGATGCCAGGAAGCAAATCATTTGTTTAATAATTTTCATAATCATGATAGTCTTCCGCTAAATTATTATGATTGTCACTCGTTTATAACAACCGATTTAGTCGTTTAGGAATAATTGATTATTTAGTTGCCTATAATACTCATATCAAAAGAATACATAAAATTACAAAGAAAATTATATAATTTAATTTGAAAAACGTATCTGTTTATACAACTTTGAAAAAGGAGTAATTCTTTAATATAATGAATCCTATGTTTGTTAAGATTTTTTAAATTGAGGGGTAATTGCCAATGATAATAAAACTAATCTACGAATGTATGATATGTATTTGACGTAATTAAAAAATAAAATACCAATATTGGAACGTTAATAACGACTTTAGTAGGCCGTTATAACTCTTCTAAGTAAGTGCTTTTTATTCTGTGTCTATTAACTCCTTTATGTTAGCGTTGTCATATGAACTCTTGTTCATAGCATTATAAGTAGTGATAAGAACACTAGTTTTATCGTTAATTAAACATTACATATTTAATGCGTGATATATATTTTTTCAGTTTTCGTAGCAAGTCAGCTGATATTATCTTTGTAGGTTAATTTAAGTAAATTATACTTACTTTCTTGTTATCACCATCGTCCTGCATTACGAACATTTTGCTTGGATACTTGGCTACGAAGAGAAGACGCTCATCATCCTGAAGCCGGCTTTGTTGGTGAAAAAAAAAACAAATTCTTTAAACACGAACCACCGCGTTGCCACGTCTCCGTGATTCAGTCCCGGCTAAGCAGAAATAAAAGAGGAAAATAATATTGACAATGAATAAACCGGGGTTGCCGCATTTTGCTTCCGGGGAGATCATCAAGGGATTCGGAAGAGGATCCAAGGAATTAGGTCAGTTATAGTTGAAATGATGAATTGTTTATAGAAAATGATATTCTGCAGGTATACCTACGGCGAATTATGCCAAGAATGTGGTCGATGCTTTACCAGAAGAACTGAACACCGGCATTTACTTCGGATTTGCTAAAATCGATGAAATAACGTACAATATGGTTATTAGCATCGGATGGAATCCATTTTATAAAAATGAGCAAAAGTCGATGGAGACCCACATCATTCACACGTTTGACGGAGATTTGTACGGCAAAATTTTGAAAATCGCCATTCTGGGATATCTTAGACCAGAGTTGAATTTCGATAGCCTCGAAGCACTCATAAACACTATAAATAATGACATCAAGCAAGCTGTAGAGCTCCTAGATAAGGACGAATACAAGCAATATCTGAAACATGAATTTTTTGCATGAAATATTCAATAAAACTGGTATATCATTTTAAATGCGTTTTGGGTAAATGAAAACGACTTGACAACATAGCATATTGTAATTACTGTCAGATGACTTAATTCCAAACATTTAAACATCAAATATCTTTTAATTTTAGATTTGAATTTGGCCGCACAATCAATCAACAAAGCATAAGTTATTTGGCCAACAAAACCACTGATTTTTTTTTTTAATTTCTAAAAATACTATCGTTATCTAAGTAATTTATTTACGCCAACTAAACAATAATTATGTTGTCAATAAATATTTACATCACAATACATTTAACCAAATAGTGTATTTAGTTGCCTATACATTCGATCAATGTTATGTATTGAAAAGACCACCAATTCATAGATGCCTCACTGGTTGAATCGCAGTTTTCGAGAATAATTCATTTCAAATTGAAACGATTATACCCACTATACATTTTGAGATTACATTTTTATCCAGAAACCGAAATTATGTTAAAAAACAGATTTTTTTAATTGCTTACTGTAATGCACATTCAAGAATTTTGTCAGTTCACAATTGGGCCACTTATTATTAGAGGAGTAGGATTTAATCAAATCTTGAGGTTAAGAAAAGAAAATATTGAAATGTATACCAAGGGTGCCCAGACTTTTTGCAGCAAGAGCTGTACCTAGGGACCAGGGGGACCAAGTCATATGAGAAATCTGTTGTATAGCCACTGCGGTAGCGTTCTTTAGTACATGGAGAGCACATAACGCGGCACCACAAGTACCAGCTAATATAAAAGCGCCAAAAAATTTGAAATTTATAATAATAAAAACAAATTACTTTATCCTATCAAATAGTTTTTACTACTTTTAACCGAGTTTGTTCTGATCCAAATAAGTTTAATTATTATTGTTAAACATTTTAGTCTTTCTTAAGACTTGTATTAGTCTATTAATTAGTGTGTATTGTTAAATTAGTAGTTAAAATCCTTGTTAGATTTACTTTTAACTCTTTATACCCAAGGTTGTTTTGTAAGTGCCATTGGATATATTTAATTTATTTTAGCTTTCCAGTCTGATTGAAGGAACATTTGTGAGGACTATAAGGATTTAAATAAACTGAACTATAAGTAAACTCCAGTAAGTGTATATTTAAAATGTATTGCGTAGTAGTAAAATTATTAACTAATATATGTGGTACCGAACTTGTAATAATATAAATGAATATTTTTTTTATCTTTGTGTTTTCAATATACAGACAGTGGATGGCTTATTGGCGCATAATGCGGTAGCCAAATAAGGAAGGGGAGTGGAAGAAGAAGGAGGGCACGCCACCACACAGCGTCTTTGGTCTACTGTGCCACATAATATGAGACGTAGCCGCTAGGTGGTAGCATATGAAGAATGAAGAAAAAGTGTTGTATCCGGTGGCAATCGCAAGCCCGACAACCAAAATCCCGTCTATCGAAATCCCGAGTGTATTGAAATCCCGACGTTTGAAATCCCGAGTGTATTGAAATCCCGACTATCATAATCCCGACAATCAAAATCCCGACAATCGAAATCCCGACAATCTAAAACTTAATAAGATTATTAACTGCTGTTAATAACATAAACTAATTTTATTATAGAATATTTCTTATTCTTAAGTT